CTTGAGGGCAAAGACCATTTCCCTTTGATCCTTATATAACCAGTACGTAGGGTCTAGTACATGGTTAAGTTCTCAAATATCTGTTAAAGAAAATATATGAATGCTTTTCTCTGAGGACTCTATTGGTGGAGAAAAAAAGAAAAAGAAAAATATACAAATGCATTAAAAATAGTAATCCATGTTTCCAGAAATGTTTTAGTGTTATGCTGTACTGAAGATCTGGCCTTGAACACCTAATAAATGGATTCTATATTTAGGTGCTATTCTATCAATCACAAGAAAAATATTACATTTTACCAACCGAGATGTTCAAAACCTGACTAAACAAATACATACTGTTACCAAAAGTGAAACACTAAATATGACAGTACGCAACATTCCCTGTTTTCCATTTACTACCAAAACGTAAATGTTTGAATTTCCCATTTTATTTTTTCTGCCTATATTACCATTAAAACATCTCACTTAGTACAATCAAAAACTATGTAAGTTAATAATTCCTCATCGATTCCGCTTCATCTAATACCTCACTTCTATTTTATTACACCCAATTGTGCCTTTTCACACCCTGAGGTCGTTCTATGTACCATTACCCAGGTCTAAAACATCTCTACCTTGACCAACCAGACCATATCTCATATCTATACTAAAGTACAGTTCAGTCCCTAAGGAAGTTTTTCTTGATTAGGCAAAAGAAGTTTGAGACTTCATCTCTACATTTCAGGTTTGTAATCCTACTCAACAATCTTAAACTTAACTATCTTGGCTATTCAGTTGCTTAGAGACTAATGGGTTTTTTTTAATTTATTTTTTTTTTTTGCTGGGATCCAATCTGCTCTCAGCACCCAGTCCCATCCAGACAATCTCAGTCTTTTTTTTTTTTTTTTTTTTTTTTGAGAAAGAGTCTCCCACTGTTGCCCAGGTTAGAGTACAGTGACATCAGTCTAACTCAGAGTAACCTCAAACTCCTGGGCTCAAGAGATCCTCTGCCTCAGCCTCCCAAGTAGCTGGGACTACAGGTGCATGCCACCAAGCCTGGCTAATTTTTTCTATTTTTAGTAGAGACAGGGTCTCGCTCTTGCTCAGGCTGGCTGGCCTCAAACTTCTGAGGCTCAAGCAATCCTCCCGCCTCAGCCTCCAAAGTGCTAGGATTACAGGTATGAGCTACTGCCCCTGGTCTACTTGCTTTTAAAAGTAGGTGACAGGCCGGGCGCGGTGGCTCACGCCTGTAATCCTAGCACTCTGGGAGGCCGAGGTGGGCGGATTGTTTGAGCTCAGGAGTTCGAGACCAGCCTGAGCAAGAGCAAGACCCCATCTCTACTAAAAATAGAAAATAAATTAATCGGCCAACTAAAAATATACAGAAAAAATTAGCTGGGCATGGTGGCGCATGCCTGTAGTCCCAGCTACTCAGGAGGCTGAGGCAGAAGGATCGCTTGAGCCCAGGAGTGTGAGGTTGCTGTGAGCTAGGCTGACGCCATGGCACTCACTCTAGCCCAGGCAAAAGAGTGAGACTCTGTCTCAAAAAAAAAAAAAAAAAAAAAAAAAGTAGGTGACAGTAACGAATGTTGTCAAGGATGTAGAGAAACTGCTATCTTCATATACTGCTGGCAGGAATGTAAAATAGTGCAGCTACTATGGAAAACAGTTTGGCAGTTTCTCGAAAAGTTAAATGTACAATACGACTGTGCAATTCCACTCCTAGATATTAACCTTAGAAAACTGATGATCTATGTTCACACAAAAAGCTGCATATAAAAGCTAATAGCAGCATTGTTCCTAATAGCCAAAGAGTAGAAAACCAAATGTTCATAGACTGACGAAAGAACAAAATGTAGTATATCTGCACAATGGAATATTATTCAGCCATATAAAAGAAAGGAATTAAATACTGATATATGCCACAACATGGATAGACGTGGGAAACATTATGCTAAGTGAAAGATGCAAGGCACAAAAGGCCACATGATTCCATTCATATGAAATGTCCAGAATAGGCAAATCCATAGAGACAAAAATAGATTAGCGGTTCCGGGGACTAGGAGAGAAGGAAACAAAGAGTGACTGTTAATGAGTACAGTTTCTTCTGGGGTGATGAAAATATTCTGAAATTAGGGGTAATGGTTGCACAATCTTGTGAATGTACTAAACACCACTGATTTGTACATTTTTAGAGTGGATATCATGGTATATAAATTTTATTTCAATAAAAAAGTAGATGGTACTTTAATAAAGCAGTAGATAAAAAATAAAGTAAGACAAGATATCTGTAATTAAAGAAGAGGTTTATAGAAGGCATGGATTCTGCTCCTCCAACCCTACTGTAAAAAAATTAAAGATGGGTGAGGACACATTCTGAAGTTCCTTGTCTTAATCCCAAAGCTCTTCCCGGCAGGAGAACAGGGGAATATGGGGCTCACTTCCATTATGATGCTCAGCTTTTCAAAGATGTAGGGCATCTACACTTCATCTATCTGAACCAAGTTAAAGTAGTCCTAACAAACTGGGTTAAATTTGACATTAGCAACCATTCTCCCTTTGTAAGTTTCTTAAGAACGGAAACCAAGTCTTGTTTGTCCTCTCATCCTAAATGCCCGAGAACCTTTAGCATACAGTAAGTGCTTAGTTAAAACTGAATGACTGACTATTTTAACACTGTGAACATCTCTGGTTACCCAAAGGCTCTCAATACCATATCCTTCCAGGTCTACAATCCCAAACAACCTCCCTGGTATTGTTAAGAGAAGTGGAGAGAGAGAACTGGACTTACCATCAGGAGTCTGGGTATTAAATTCCAACTTTTCCACTTATCACTGACTCTGGGAAAAGTCACTAACCTCTCTTACAGTCTGTCATTCATAAAATAGGGATATTATATATTATATCAGGCGAAGCACTAAACTAATATATTATCTGTAAAATCATTTCATATAAGCTTTTAACTTAGAAATGTTACTTTTAATTTAATATTCCACATTTTTCCATTCTACATACTCCAGTCTTCTTCGCACCAACAAAACCACCATTCCCTTAGCCAAAAAAGATCTCTTCTAATACCAGAGAAGGAACTGAATTAAAAAAATTCACACTATGTTAGTGATTTTCAAACAACTTTGATGAGGACTATAGTTAATAATAGTGTATTGTATTCAGGATTTTTGCTAAAGAGTATATTATATCTTACCATGGGAGTAGGGGAGGGGAGATGTGGTTAACAATGTGAGATGATGAATAAGTTGATTTTTCCACAATAGTAATCATTTTACTATATATATGTCTCTTATAACAACATGTTGTATATCTTAAATATAAACAATTGCAAATTAAATTAAATTAAAAAGAAACGATTTTGAAGTTATAGAAAATATCCTTTAAAACTCTTACACAAACCCATTAATACACAAAAATATTAGCCTGCAGCCATAAAAAGAGTCAAGGGTCCTACTGTTGCAGCAGTTCCACTGCTCCCTGTTCTCATGGTAACTCATACAACGCACGAGGTGATTCTGTATAACCTTGGCAGGTTATGTGTACATTTTAATTCTTTTAATACAAAGAAATTGGTGAAATTTCAGAAGGAACTGAAAGATACTTTTCTTTAGGAAAGTATGACAGTTGAAAGGGGCAAGAGGCCTCAGGAGTCCTTCATGTTCCACCTATTCCTCCCACTCATTACTTCCCCTTCTCCTGTCAGTGTATGTCCCAAAGTGCCTGGTATCTTGACCCTCCCTCTAACCTCACCCTTTCACAACCCAATAACTACTCCTCCTTTTGGATCTAACAGAAAAAATGACAAAGATCTGACCACATTTTGGTCCTGGGTCTCCTCTCTGGCTTTAAACTTGCACCAGAGTGTATCATCTGACATAAGGTTTGTCTGTTCACAAGGGGTGGGAAGGATTTACCCTACTAGCAAAGCTGATATTAATCCATTATTGTACCTCCTTAGACAGTATCATAATTTGCTGTTCACATAATATTCAATTCCTTATAGCTTTAAAATATTGAAAAATGCTAGTTTTGTTAATTTTTTTTTAAATTTGAGATGGAGTCTCATTAGGTTGCCGAGGCTGGTCTCGAACTCCTAGGCTCAAGGGATCCTCCTCCCTCAGCCTTCTGAGTGGCTGGGATTACTAGGGTGTGCCGCCAGGCTTAGCCTGAGGAATGCTAGTTTTAGCACAAAAACTTGTCAAGATTCAAATATTTATACTTTACTCTTTGTTTAATTGACTAATATAATTGTGCATATTTATGGAATACAATGTGATGTTTTGATCTATGCATGTATTATAGAAACATTCAGTTAAGCTAATAAACATATCACCCCACCAATCCATTTTTTTTTTGTTGTAAGAAAATTAAAAACTAATTTTAGCAATTTTGAAATATACAACACACTATCAATCAACTGGTCATTGAACAGTACAACAGATCACTAAAACTTATCTCCAAAGGAAGCAAAATTGGTATATCAAGGAGAGATTATCTACATTCCCACACTTACTTCAGCAATCTTCACAATAGCTAAGATTTGGAAGCAACCTAAGTGTTCATCAACAGATGAACAGATAAAGAGAATAGGGTATATATACACAATGGAATACGCCATACGGCCTTTAAAAAGAAGGCGATTCTGCCACTTGTGACAACATAGATGGAACTAAAGAACATTATGGTAAGTGAAATCAGCCAGGCACAGAAAAATAAATACTGGATGATCTCACTTCTATGTGGAATCTAAAAATGTTGATCTCATAGAAACAGAGAATACAAATGTGGTTACCAGAGGCTGGGGTGGAGGAGGGAAGGGAAAAGGAAGACGTTGATCAAAGAGTACAAAGTTTCACTTAGGCTGGAGTAATAAATTTTAGTAATTTAAATTTTACTCTTTAGAAATTTCAAGGAAATGTTGGTCCTGAATTTTAAAAACCTTGAAATAAATACTTGAATTCCCTAATTAACATGAGATATTAAATACCTCATTCAACTTAAATACAAACCTGTATGGGTGGAATATCTGGCAGTGATGGAAGGTTTTCTGGATTGGTAACTGAGGGGATTAGCTCTATTGCTGTAACAGATGGGCTGGTGGGACCTCGGTTTGCATTTGCGATAGTTGCCGTAGTAGGGCTCGTTGGGTTGATTGTGGTGTTGTGTACCGATACAACAGGAAAGGGTCCAGCATGCCCTGGGTTTGAGTGCTAATAAGAAAGAAGACATTATCATTACTTGATCTGCCAGAATATTAGAATATGAACTATACCTTTACAACAATTTTTAGTTTAGGAAGGATTCATGAGTATTGGATATCTGTGGGCCCTCTCAAACTTATTCAGGAGAAGAACAGTTCAAACTTAGCATTTTCATTTTTCTATTTAGTTTTGTGTAGTATCTAGGGAAAAACAGACTTGCCAATAATTTTCAACCTGTCAACCTGGAGATATGATATTATTTCAGAACCAAGGGGGTATATATATAATGGATGATCTGGAAGTTTTCAAACAGAAGGCCAAGAAAACTACTGCTCTGTCTACATTCCTCTTTGATTATTTAGTCTCATTTCTTTTTTAGAGACAGGGTCTTACTCTGTCATCTGGGCTGGAGTATAGTGGCATGATCATAGTTCACCGCAGCCTACAACTCCTGGGCTCAAGCAATCTTCTCTCCTCAGACTCCTGAGCAGCTAGGGCTCCAGCTGTGCATCACCACGCCTGGCTACTTTTTTATTTTTTTAGAGATGAGGTCTCGCTGTGTTGCCCAAGTTGGCCTTGAGCTCCTGGCCTCAAGCAATCATTCCCCCTTAGCCTCCCAAGTCGCTGGGATTACAGGTGAGATAGCAGCTTGATATGGTACAAAGAACAATGAATTTACAGAAAGGAAACAAGACATCAATTCCTCACTATAATACTGTGTGATCTTAGGGAAATCACATAATCTCCACAATTTAGAAATGTGGATAATGATCCCTCACTCGTTTCACTGTGATGGCTGTTATAAGAATCGCTGAAGATAATACAGATGAAAATCCTTGGGAAACAAATTATATACATATATAAGTAACTCATTTGAAATATTTAAAAACTAAAAATGCAAATAACATTTAGTGATTTCTGTAGGGGTAACCTTAAAGTCTAAGGAAAATATTTTGAGATGGCTGGTTAGTCTGATTCTGTAGCTTCTGTACTCTTTGAAATGGTGTACCTGGCCCCTGGTAGTGTTTGAAGGCTTTCCGTGAACTAAGGGGTACATGGCTGTGTGAATAGTTTTAACGAAATTAATGTTCAGATTCCCAGCCTCCGTATGTATTTTCTTTCAAAAAAAAAAACAAAATCCTATTTGCCTAAGGAATTGCCATGCTCTGCAGGGTCTCCTTTTCCACTTTTGCAACTGCCCTTCTTGCCCTTGACAGAAGGACAGCATACGTCTGACTCATTCCTAATCTTACTCTAGGCACATTGCTCCATGATGAAAAAAAAAAGAAAACCTGTCCAGATAATCAAAGGTATAATTGATAATAATGATATAGGGTGTTGAAAGTGACTGCCTCTAAAACCTGAGAAATAAATTTTCAAATGAGTTTCAATATTTGATGATCAACAAAAATAAAGACCTGGGAAGCTGTCACTGATAAAAGGTTTTTAAATAGTTGAGATTCAACTTATAATCTAGGAAAAGTTAAAAGAACTGAGGAATATTACTACAGTAAAATTATTTTAATTCCCAAATACATAATTTTGTGAACAAGTTTCCTATCATGTGAAACAAAAACGAAAAAACAAGTAATAAAAATCATTGTTGAATTCTGACTTATTTTAACAATAAGAGCGAGCATACAAACATATACAACTAAAAGGAGGGGATAAAAAGTCTCCATATAGCTCAAAAAAATGTATATACAAAAAGAGTTCCATTTTATGTTTTCTAATATTCTAAATCATGTATATACATATATTCTGTTTCAACAATTGTGGAGAAATGATGTAATGATAATTTGGTTCACAGAAAAGGTTTTAAAACTTAATGGACTTATTGTCACTGGGAGTTTATAAAGAATTTTTTTATTAAAATAAACATTTTTCCTGCAGAAAATTATATTAGGCCAATCTATGCCAATCACACAAAAATATACTATATTAAACTAAAACACTGTAGGTGAAGTAGAAGCTAAATTCAAATCTAAGGAGAGCTTCCTATTAATATTTACTGTATTTGGGATTCCAGTGGATTGATTTAAAAAAATGATGTAAAGGTTTTCTTTTTTCTTTTTACTTTGTAGTGTCAATATTTACAATATGCTAGAAAGGATACTTTTTTCAACTATTAATATTTAAACTTACACTGGAAATTTTAAACGAAACCCTTCAAATGTGAGGGAGTGCATATTTTTCAAAATTCTTTCTGGGGGCACTTAGAGCAAAAAGCTGAAGGACTACTGCTCTAAGACAGTGTTCCTCCAACTTTATTGTGCAGACTGACCTGAAAGACTTAGTAAAAGTTTACATATTTTACACGCTACCCTCCTGGGAATTCTGATTCAGTGGTTATGGCTCAGAATCTGTTCTGACAAGGTCCCTCACCCTACCCAAGCTGACCGGTGATTCTGCTGGCCTTTAAAGCGTGTTTTGAGAAACACCACTCTCAAAGCTAAAATATGAATTCTATTATTTTATAACTAGAAATCCTATGAAAAAGTAGTCTCATTTTATAATCATACTTTCTATAACAATTATAATCTACTATTCAGGCAAAGATATAAAACATGTCTCTAAGTACACATTTTTAAGATTAAGCATATCTATATCCTAAAAGGAACAATGCTTGACTGGAGAAAAGAAAAAGGGAAAAAAATTACATATAATTAGCTCTATTACTTTCAAATTCCTTTTTATATGTTAGAATCAAAAAGTCACATTAAAAGAGCAGAGGAACAATGTCAGGAAACTAAAGTTCTAATTTTGATTTTATCATTACCTTCTGTGGTTTGTTTTTCACATCTGTAAATGGAATAGGTTGGACTACATCAGGGTTTCTCAACCCACAGCATATGGGGTTAAAAGAGATCCAAGAAGCTCTTAAAATTAAATACAAAATTTTGTATGTATGTATATTTTTCTGGGACAAGAAAATATATAGCATTAATCAAATTCTCAAACATATCAACCACACACCCCCAAAAATTAATTAAGAAAATGATGTCTTTTAGTTTTAAAATGGTATGATTCTTACAAATGTAACTCTAGGCATACTTGTCTTTGGAGGTGTGGCTGCATCATGGAATATTGAGGGCCGCTGTGCCTGGGTATCCCTGGTATTCTGGCAGCATTCTGAGCCAGTCTCATCTGATGGGCTTGAAAAGCTCCACAGTTCATGTTGCCTCTTTGCATTGTTTGCACACTGATCAATCGTGGAGGCTACAAAAAGTAGAAATTGATATTTATGTAATAATCATTAATAAATTTATCTTTCAATTATAAAATGTTACGATAAAAATAATTCAGCCAGGATAAAAGAGTCTAATGAAAAAAGCAAAAATTCTTCTTCTCATCTCTAGCCTCAATCCCCAATCTGGTGTGGAAGGATGAGAACTTCTGTACTGCCAGAGTATTAGTGAGTTAAATTTTTTTCCCAAGGTAAGTTATTTACTTACTGCCTTTCTCCCACCTCACCCACATCCCCAACAGAACAAGAGCAAGTATTTAAATTCTGACCTTTGAGCTCTGCTCAAAGTCCTGCTAGTAACTTTGAAATGTGTAACTCACCTATATAGGAAAAAGTGTAATCTTGAGGTCTTCATAATTTGTATCAATAATGTAGTAACACGATACTCACCTGTTGCTGTAACATTTGAGGTGCTGCTTGTCTAGGATGCTGCTGTGTTGTTGTGGTGGTGGTTGGTACAGGTGCTGGCGGTTGCTGCATCCTCATCTGTTGTAACTGCTGATGTTTCTGTGCGTATACTTGTTGTTGCATGTGCTGGAGCCGAAGCTGTGCTAAATTAATCTGTCCAGGGGTTTTACTAATGTGGTTTGTCCCTGGAGGAACTTGCCCAACTACAACATTAGGAGTATAACCAGGAGCTGGTTTACTCTCTATTACTAGATTACCTGAAGGATTTAAAAAATAAGAATTTTTATATAATCAACTAATCATCTACTTTACAGATTTATCACTATCTTTTCCTCCTCCTGACAACTATCAGCATCTCAAAGCTTCCTATAGTTCAGCAGGAATTGGAACCATGTTTAAAGATGGTGAGGATCAGAAATATAAAGCTGAATAAATGACTTTTAATTACCTAGAATAATATAATATCTGCCCTTATCTTTATTTACACAGATGTACAGAAAATTAGAGATGAAAGAGATAGTATTAGAGGAGGCCCATCTAGTCAGTCTAAATCAATTCTCCCATGACAAGATTCCACGATACGAGATTCCTAGCACTGATTCCATCTGCCTTTGAATTACCAAAATGTGCAGAGCACAGTACTACATTGCTACAAAATTGTCCTCTGTGGCAATATGGAATGCTTCAAACACTTATGTCCTTAGAAGTGACAATTTTCCTTGCTTTTCACAGAGCCATTGCTTTCTAGGCATAGAGGGCAAATTTTAGGAAGATGTTGATTTAAGGCGAAGGTTGGCAGGCTTTTTCTGTAATGGGCCAGGATCGTATATATTTTAAGCTTACCAGGCCGCATAAGATCTGTCTCACAGTCTTTGGTTTTTGTTTGTATGTAGAAACCATTCTTAGCTACCATGCCACACAAAAATAGGTTACTGATGCCAGCTCTAAGGCTACAGCCAAATTCGAATATAATTTGTCCTTTTATGTAAAGATTACTTTTTAAAGAAAAGAAAACAGAAGGTCATCCAGCCTCTGCTTTTATAACTCCCAATCTTTAGGACTTGACTAATATGAAAGCGAGTTTACTCAATCTGTAGATAACTCTAATTGTTGGGAGTGTGTGTGTGTGTGTATGTATGTGTATATGTATGTGTTTTAATTGAGCTGTCTGACCATCTCTCTGTGGAGTAACAAAAGCAAAGTCCACTTCTCTTCCACATGAAAAGAGCTACCCTTATCTTTCAAACATTCCTCAGGACATGACTATCGAACACATCAGCATCTTGGGGGTCCTCCACTAATGCATAATTTGGCATAATTAAACTACTGAGGATCTAAAACATTATTCCAGAGAATGAAGAACGATTTGCTAAGATTTTAATATGAAATAGTCAATATCAATTTTAAAAGATGGGGGAGGGGTCTAGAAATGATACACGTCAGAAAATACTATTCAGATTAGACTCAACATTCTTAAAATGTAATGACACAGCAATATAAAACCATAGCTACAGTGAGTTTCCAATAAAATATTTTCCAAGTAGTTTACATTTTAAAATTAAAAACTTTATCTAAAATTTCCTTTAGATGTTTTCTCCTAATTCAGTGTTCCAAGTTATATTCATACAACTAATTATTTCTCACCTAAATTGACTACATTCTTTGCCCAGAAGGTAGGATCACAATGGAAACGTATTGCTCCATTAGCAGCAGGGACTGGATCACATCGTGCTTTCAAAATATGACGCAACTGAAAAGTGATCTTAAAGGGAAAAAAATTCGCATTAGTTTTAAAATTAAATATTAATTTAAAAAACATACAAGATAAAGACTTTTCAAAAGTATAGTATATAGTTCCAGACCGGGCGCGATGGCTCACGCCTGTAATCCTAGCACTCCGGGAGGCCGAGGCGGGCGGATTGTTTGAGCTCAGGAGTTCGAGACCAGCCTGAGCAAGAGTGAGACCCCGTCTCTACTAAAATTAGAAAGAAATTAATTGGACAACTAAAAATATATAGAAAAAATTAGCTGGGCATGGTGGCGCATGCCTGTAGTCCCAGCTACTCAGGAGGCTGAGGCAGTAGGATCGCTTGAGCCCAGGAGTTTGAGGTTGCTGTGAGCTAGGATGACACCATGGCACTCTAGCCCGGGCAACACAGTGAGACTCTGTCTCAAAAAAAAAAAGTATATAGCTCCAGTGTTAGTCTCAGATGAGATAGTATCAATGTTTAAATTAGCAATCAAATCAAATGCATATGCTTGAATTTCTGCCATTTCTGGTAATAAATTGCATCAAGACACTAGGTATCATTAAAAAAGTACATAGTGTATGACTCTATTTACATGAAATTCTAGGAAATGAAAGAAATCAAATTACTAGTTGCCAAAGACTAGGGTAAAGGGAACAAGGAAACTTTTGAAGTATGATGGAAATTTTCTGTCTTGATGTGGTGGTGGTTACATTTGCCAAAATTCAAATTTATACTTGAAACAGCTACAGTTGACTCAATATAAGAATGTCTTAACGTGCATTAAAGAAAAATGAAGATATTATGTGTCTTACCAGTCGCTTGCTGTATAGTAGTGCAGTGCTGCTACCGCTTGCAATTGCCCAGTTTGTAAAGTTCATAACATGCTTCACCTGTCGGGAAAGGCCCGTGATGTCATTCTGCTGCTGTAGTAACTTCATCTGCCTTTCTTTTGTAACATTCTGAAAGAGAACAAGAGCTTCACTGAAGAATTCTATATGAAAAAAATCAGCCCCAAATTTCTGTTGCAAATGGACACAATACTTATTATTTCCTTTAAAAATAAGATAAATGAACAAGCTCATGATTATTTAGTGAGGCTATGATTAATCAGAGAAAAAGTCACTCACAAAAATGGGACTAAAGCTTAGCTCTCTAAGCTAAAAAGGATATTCCACATATGGAAATTAATGTTAGTTAATACATCTCTTTTCTTTCAGCACATAAATTGTTTATTAAAAATAGTGCTCTCCTATTAGGTTAATCCAATATACAGAGTTTATGGCATAATGAGGTAACTTTTAGAAATTTTATATAATCTTAACTCACAATAAAGGCCAACGAAAATTTTGTGTCACCAGTGCCACCTCCTGGTATGGCATGAGACTGAAAATTAAAATCTCTTTGCTTACATACCTAAGACAAAATGAAAACGATAAATTCCAGAGCTCCAAGGGTAGAATTAGGGAAACTTGTGATATGACAAAAGCTGATAAAGGACAAAGAAGTGAGGACTGACCAAACTGGAAAAACCAATTCCAGAGAAATGCTGAAAAGGAAAAATTAACTGCTTTACGGGAACTAAAACCCCCAGGAGGGATGGGTAATGTCCTATGTACTTTAAAATTCAGCATATTAAACAACTTATCTACTTTCTTAATCACTTTCTCCCCAAAATGATTCAACTTGGTTTATTAGACAATATTTTTCCTAAGGAAACAAGCTGTTCATTTTATAATGTAAATTAATGGATAAAAGTATTCGACTGACAGAAGTCTGGTTTACTACTTCACTAGAAATCATTCATTTTTATAAAGCTTAGGAAAACCTCTTACAGAGTTTAGGAACATATTAACCCTAGAAAACATCTGTTTTTTAAAATTACCATCACGTTAGGAGTATGTAACAGATTTCCATTAGGAATTTACATGCACCTTAGCCTTAAGAGGCATCTTTAAATTCAGAAGCTCTTGAAGTGGTTTTAGAAATATTTTAGATTTATAGCTAAAATGTATTTACAATAAGTTAAAATGTATCAAAAATAGTTACTGTTAAGTGCTGTCCATTCACATGGTCCTTTTGAGGAAAAAAGCACTATTAGCATTAAATGCAACTGACTGGATGTAGAGTAAGAAAGGACTCCCAACTTTAACAATGTGTGCGAGTGGGAATACTTTTCATTTCACAACTAGGTTTCAATGGAAAGATGTATTTCAAAAGACAGAAATTCAGAGATAACATACTGCAGACACAATTTCTTTCATTGGTATATAATTACGCACCTAACATTTTTTAAAGAGTTCTATGGAGATGGAACAGAAAAAAATCTATTATTGACAATTTGAGGTTAATAGAAGTTAAATAGTCAAATACTCATGTAGCTTAATTACTACTCAACAGAACAGAAAACATAACCCCCATATTGTCTGAGCCTACGTAAGAGCACAAAATTTTCAAACAGAAAATATTTTTTTTCAAAATTTGAGCTCCTCAGAAAATTCACATTTGAAATTTGCTAAGAACAAATCAACTGGGCAGTAGAGTCTTTGATTAAAAATTAATTTAGATTTCATAAACTAAAATTGGTAAGTAGATTCTCATCTAGAAATTTTATTATATCTACATATTAATCTCAAAATATGTAAAACAAAGATCTAATATCACAAAATTATCAGTAAGTTTAAGGTTTATAAATTTCAAAATGAGCAGCATTTTCAGCAAGACTATGGAAATATTTTTAAAGTAAGGTGAAACACAAATGACTCAAACAGAAGCCTCACATGCATTTATATGGGAAAGTTAAATTGCGGCTCCATCTGAGGAGGAGCTGTGGGAGAAATGTGGTGGGTCTGCGTTGCCTTCATTTACATCACATTTTAGTAACACTTCTTTCATTCACTATCTCCTAATGTATACAGCTAAAATCAGTGCTATTGAATTGGCTGCAATGCTAACTAATTAGAAAATGGGTCTCTCTTCAAATGGAAAATGAAAAAAACCTTATTTTTTATTTTATTTCCATACCCCCCAACCCATCTAAAAGAGCTTTCAATAAACATTAAAAACAGCTGAAGAGCAAGAGAAGCAGTTTTTGTTTTATTTTGGCTTTGAACCATACCTCTAGCTGCTGTAAGAGAGATTTTCCTTTCTTATTAATTTCATTGATAAGGGTGAAAATGGCCACTTTAATTTCCTGTTCTACTCGTTTGTTAGTCTCATTTACTTCTTTTATCCTGAATAAGAGAAATGCATCATTAGGTTATCAACTTATCCTATGTTTCTGAATCATCAACTGTTACAGAAATTCATCCAACTGGGCACTTAACCGAGTAATTAAAATTAAAACTTTGTCAAAATGTACAACTTAAATTTCGGAAGACCTAACCACTCAACTTGGTCCAAACAAGTTATGTATATAGACAAAGAATGAATTTAATCTTTGGTAATTTTAAATCGAGATCATAAAGGCCAGTTTACTAAGCTGGATGGCATCTCCCTAAGTCACTATGACATGAATGTGATGTACAAACATCTAACAGCAATGATTGCTGGCTGGCATCAAATCTGGCACATTGGTTCTGTTTAACCTTAATGCTTTCCAAGAACAATTTGCAAAAGAACAGTGTTGCAACCAATAATTATTATCTTTTGAAAGGGTAGGAGTTAAACTTACAAGCATTTATTTTCACTTATAACTTAACCACTTCAAATATGGGTTCTGATACATTCCTTCCATAACTTCCTGTCAAAAAATACTCTCCTACTGTATGCAGTAAAGGGCAGAAAACATTTTCAATCCATTTTTAAGAATAGCTACTATCAGATGTTTTAGAAATAAGTATAAGTACCCACTGTGGTTATGAAAGTTTTGGTTGCAAATATGCAGTGGCTGACAAAATAGGAAGTGGGGAATCCCACCGGTATAAATAGGTAAGATATCAACAACCAACAATAAGAGATAACCTTCAATTTTTATACATTCTACTTCTATACCAATTATAACCCACACTTTCAGCCCCTAAAATGCCTTTTATTTGCCAGTTCGAATGTAGTAACTTTAATACATTCTGAGCAATAATGCAGTTTTTCCTCCTTTGTCTGTATATCACTGCTTGTTTGGGCACTTACTTGAAAATTTTATTGAATTCTGCCCTTAACTTGTTAAAAGTGAGTGAAAGACTTTTTTTAAAAAAAATAAATAAAGGTACTAATCAGTAGCCATAAGAAATGTAAGTCTCAAATGTAAAATGACTGAGCCAAAGGTGGAAATCAGTAAGCAAGCTGAAAGCAGTAATTAGCTTCAGTCAGACTCCTCTTGGACTTAGCAGGTGTACTATATGGTCAATTTTGAAGGAAGAAAAAATGTGCATTAAAAAACATAGATTTCTTTGGTCCTAGGGTTGGCCAAAAAAAAAAGAGGGAGGAAAATACACTGGAGACAGATCATGGAAGAATGTGTCTAAAAGGGGGAGTCATCATCAGAGATTTTGATACTGTTTTTTAAAGCTTCCTGGAGATGAAATCATTAATCTCCCCAACGCTTTGCAATCTGGTAACTGGTAAACCTCTTGTTCTAATTCTATATACAAATTCCACAACACAGGTACAAAATGTGTACAAAAATATAATGTATATACAAAACATATGTATAAAAATATGGGACTGTTATATGAATCAACTCACTGTATTTCCTTTGAAAGGGACATTCATCTATAATTTGTGAGAAGACATACAGTTATCCTTTCCAACATCAACCATAATGTAACAGCAGTTTAACCCAAAACATCCTGATATTTCCAAAAAAAACCAAACCATCAATGTGTGTACGTATATATATATATATATATATATATATATATATATATGTGTGTGTGTGTTATCTACAACCCCTGAGGAGCCTTTTACTTTCTTTTGATATCATTTCTTAAGATGAAAAGGTCTACCATGTGTAAAGCATTATTTTCATTCATTTAACTATTTAGTATTTTTCGAGCATCTACTATGTGCCATTTTAATTGTAAATTAATGAATTTTAATATTCAATAGAAGTTCCAATATTTGTGAGTCTGTAAGAATAAATATATATTAATCCTATTCACACCTCCAGGAATTTAATGGTTTTAATTATGCCACTCCAAGTGTTTGTCTTTCTGGTGTAAGAGTCCTCATCTTGTTAATCTGCTCTCTTATGGAACCTACTCACACTTCCCTTATCAATAAATTTATTTAGAAATGTACCAAAATAGAAAAATTTTTGAATAATAATGATAAAGATAATAACAGCAGCTAAAATTTGAGTGCTTACTATGTGCCAGAAACTGTACTATGTAATTCAACTTACAATGCTACTCCCAAGATAAGCACTGTTTTTAATGCTTGTTTTACAGATGGGGAAATAAATCTGTCCACTGATAAACTCTCCTTTATATTGTATCTTCCACACAGTCTCTAATTTTTTTTTTTTTTTTTTTTTTGAGACAGAGTCTCACTGTGCTGCCCAGGCTAGAGTGCCATGGCATCATCCTCGCTCACAGCAACCTCAAACTCCTGGGCTCAAGCGAGCCTCCTGCCTCAGCCTCCTCCCCCGAGTAGCTGGGACTACAGGCATGTGCCACCATGCCCGGCTAATTTTTTCTATATATTTTTAGTTGTCCAATTAATTTCTTTCTATTTTTAGTAGAGACGGGGTCTCGCTCTTGCTCAGGCTGGTTTCGAACTCCTGAGCTCAAACAATCCGCCCGCCTCGGCCTCCCAGAGAGCTAGGATTACAGGCGTGAGCCACCGCGCCCGGCCTCTACTTTAAATATTATAATTCAACTCTCTCCGCTTTAATTTATTTTTCCAAGTTTAAGGCTTATGTAGACTGGAGTCTTATTAATTATAAAATAGTCAAAGATGTATCCTGAAAGAGTATACAAAATTTTGATCAATTAAATTTTATTTAATTAATATTATAATCCCAAACTCATACCATTTCCTCCTCAAAAAAATGTTTTCTGTATATGCTTAATATAGTAGGAAAACAAATTTAAACTGACTTTTTCTTAATAATCCTTAAAGCAAAATTACGGTTTTAAGGCAAAACTTACCTATTCTGCACCTGAGTAGCTGCGAAATGAACATAATTCTTCTTCTCAAGAAGTTTAGCGAGTAGATTCTCAATTGCACCTTTCTGATTTTGGAAAGCTTCTTCCAAAAATTGATACCTTAAAACCAAAACAAAAACTACATTTAAAACAAAAAATTGATGATTAAAATTTTGGAAATAACAAACAGCTATGTGAGCCAATCTTGAAACCTTATTTAAGTAATCAACTCTCTATGCTGGCCATTTGTACCTTATCTCAACAGCAACTTTTAGTTGGTAATCCACTCCCTTTCTCACCCTAAGAAGCCATTATAAAAGAAAAAATTTCTCAAAAAATGTTTGTGTACTCTTTTTATAATATTAGAATTTTGATTCAGGATTACATCCTTTTAGAAATCCAAATACTGGATTTAAGTTGTATACAATGTAAACCATAAAATACAACCACATTATAGAAAATACTATCAAAACCATTCACAGTTCCAACATCACAAAATCACTGCTACGACTGCAATATATAACTCCTAGTCTTTTAATTATGTACTTTTAAATGCAAGTATAATCATAATAAACATTTAATTTTATCTTTTATTCTTTATCTTCTCTTCATAATCACACTTGAAATAATTTTTCAGTTCCAGACTTTTGTCCAGTTCTATTGTCGAACTTTCCAAAAGGGTTTTATCAATTTAAAACATCACCAATGCTAGTTTTCTTTTGTCAACATGAATGATATGCGTCCACTGAAAATTTAGACTTAACGTTAAAGTCTACACTTCTTTGGTTACTAGCAATCTAGAATAATAGTTTTCTTTGCTAGTTTAATTTCCTTTTTGTAAACTGTTTATTAAATCAACAAATTTTTTCTGGCTTCTTCAATGTCCTTTTTACGTGGGTAAAAGGATCCATTATGGTTCATATTCTATTAATAGGCATAAATATAAAATGATACCATACTGTGACAAGAGTTATAATGGAGGTATATACAATCTGCAACAAAAACCCAGTGCCTAAATCAGCCTCAATACCAAGGAAATCTTCACAAAAAAGTGAGAACAGTATCCTATGCTAAGCACAGAGGCATGTTGTGGCACTATAAATACTTCAATACGGCCAAAGAAAAATACATAAAGGTCAGAACATGAAACAATAACTGGTAAAATCCTGAGACAGACTGTGAAAGGCTAGGTATACCATGCTATTTTTGCATTTTATTCTCTAAGTAATGGGAAACCCTTGAAGAATCATAATCAAAATGTTATGATCACATTTACATTCTAAAAAAATAATCAGACAAATATAAAAGACCTAAAGAAGAGGGTAGAAGGCAAAGACCAGCTAGAACTTTAAGATCAGGTTACAGTGCTGGCTGGTACAGCCAAAGAAACTGGACCAACTGACTCTGTCAGAGAGATCAGCAGATTTAAGAGATTATGTATTAGTTATAGCACGGTCCATGGTACAACCTGAAAATATGATGCCTAGCTAAGGCACAGTCAAGTAAAGGTCACTGGAAATGAGGAATTCAAGTACTGACAAAATTATAATTGTCTATGTGGGCACTGAAATTATAAAACTAAAGGCAAGAATTGAGATGAGGAGAAAGACTATGAGCATTTAGATGTCTGTTGTGTCTTCAATAAAGGTATCAGCTAATGTAGACAAGAGGAAAGGCTATGATATTGTTAACACACAGGAAAGTTTTTGTTAAGGTAAAGGGAAGTTTGCTTAGTGGAAGAATTCAAGAGGTAAAGGAAGAACAGAGGGCAGAAGAAGAGCAGTGTAGACCAAGCAATATGGGGATCTGTTATTGAAAACAGCTGGCAAATAAGGTTTTTATTTTGTGCACTGATTTCAAGAAATGTTTTATGGTGGTAGAATATACATAATAAAATTTATCAGTCTAACCATCTTTAAAGCAAAAAAAGTCTGCAAGGTTGAGCACATTATAACTTGTATAAGATATTAACAGTGCACACAAAAAAATGTGGGTATTTTAATTTAAAAGACTTTTTAAAGAGGTTCTATTGTTGGATAGGGACCTTCACGGAAGAGCAAAATTTGATTTATTCCATATACCATTATTACTCTATTTCAATAAAAAAAATTTCACTATGTTAATCTATACAAATAAAATAGAAATATGAGAATGCCATGCTAACCCTTTTGACCTAATGAGCTTTGTTTACCCTGTGAGGAAGAAAGATCTTTTTGAACTAGAGTTTGATTATGTCAACAAATAGAAAGGCATCTGGTAGAAAGGTCAACCAGTATCAAAATTCACAAAATTCTAATTCATAAAATTTAACCTTATACAACTTTCTCTTCTAATCCCTAAATAAACACATTTCAGAATCTTGTTTCTAAAAATGTCTTGTTGCATTTATGAGAACAAGAAACAAGCAAACACACTATTTTCTTAAATATGATATGCCTAGGTAAAAAATGTGTCCTTTCCTCCCGTTATACAATGGTTGACACCTGAGCCAGATGGTAAAGAATGAATAAGAGCTTTCTAGGTAGACAAACGTGGAAGAAAGGCAAAAGCTTTCACTAAAAAAAAGAAAAAAATTCTGAACATACGAAAATACTTCTGAAATCACCTGTCATTTTTAGGGCAAAGTAAAAGAACACAAAGCTAAAAGAACAGGTACCAGATGCTAAAGAGCCCTGTATAGTTTGCTGAAGTCAGATTCATATAATAAGTAATGGTGAACTATCAAAGGATTAATTGGAAAATGATAATCAGATTTGTTCCTGTTCACTTGAATGAATTTCAGTTGTATGATTAGAAGAAAAACGCCAATGGGAGCTTGAAAAAAAAGAAGCAATATGAGGTAGTTTGGTAACAAGATTCTCTTTGCTAACAGAATAAACTTTATTCTTTTTCAACTATTAAAAACTATAGTTGAGGCCAGGCGCGGTGGCTCACGCCTGTAATCCTAGCACTCTGGGAGGCCGAGGCGGGCGGATTGTTTGAGCTCAGGAGTTCGAAACCAGCCTGAGCATAGGAAGAAATTAATTGGACAACTAAAAATATGTAGAAAAAACTACCTAGGCATTGTGGCACATGCCTGTAGTCCCAGCTACTCGGGAGGCTGAGGCAGAAGGATCGCTTGAGCCAGGAGTCTGAGGTTGCTGTGAGCTAGGCTGACGCCACAGCACTCTAGCCCAGGCAACAGAGTGAGACTCTGTCTCAAAAAAAAAAAAAAATTATAGTTGAAATGCTTCATATGAATAACCAACAAATGGATTAAGTGTAATTTAGATTAATATATAAATACTTGAAAGTAATTTCTTAGATTTTAATTTTGCATTATGCAGTAGTAATTCTTAATGTGGGCTTCTTAGTCACAATGAGCTATTTTCAGTATTTCAAAATATCTAAGTAAAAATTATGTATGTCCAGGATTTAGTTAGGACACTCTAACTCAACATTCTGTGCTTTAGGCTAGAATTACACATACTCAGTATAATAAATATATCACTGATTATCTGGTTTTGATCAAAATTAATCAACATACTTATATGTACTTATTGAGAAATAAATTACATTTAATGCAGTTTGCTAGGAAGTTTTTGAGAATGTGGTGCTCATGAGTAAAGGATGGGAGACAAATAATAAAAGGGTGGTTTTTGCTGGGTGCAGGGGCACATGCCTATAGTCCCTATTACGCAGGAGGATCACTTGAGCCTAGCAGTTCAAGAGCAGCCTGTGCAACACCACAGTGTGATCCTGTCAATCAATCAATCACTGTTTTTTTAAAGGTTGAGAATCACTTAGCTAATTGCTTCAAACTTCTGAATGTACATTTAGGGTCTTATTAAGTACTAAATTCTACTACTCAACTTGCCAAATGATATGGCACTATTCTTAGTAATTGTCACTGCACCTAATAATAAGATTTGATTCTGGCACATCCAGGGAAATATATCCAAACTGAGTATCTAAGGAAACCTTTTTTAAAAACTGACTCAGTTTCACTTTTCTTCATTTATTCCATTTTTTATTTTTTAATTTAATTAAAATTTTTTGAGACGGGGTCTTCAGGTGTGAGCCATCACACCCAGCTATTCCATTTTTTAAAATAACATAAAATTTCAAACATTTTTCTTGAAAGGGGGTTCAAAAAAATTTCCAACATTTACTAAGGTCCAATTCCACTGAACCTACTTTCAAAAATTATCCACTTAAAGCCAATTTTATTTACACACTCACTCACTCCATCCCCTAGATCACCTTTAAGAAAATTGCAAACATGTTTTATCTAAGCATTTCTCAATCTACAGATAGCAACAGCTAGCCTGTTTTGAGAACTTACTATACTTTCAGGCACTGTGCTAAGTATCTTATATAGATTCTCTCATTTAATCTTTAATAAAACGTAATGACTTAGATACTGTCTTCACAGTTAATAACTGGATGACTTGGACAACCTTTGGTGTCTCAGTTCTTCTTCAGTAAAATATGGACTAATCATATTTACCCTTACAGGCTTGTTATAAGAATTAAATTGGTCAAAACACACAAAGTACTTAAGGCATAGTAAGGATTTAATGCTTGCTATCACTGTTACTGTTAGCAGTAATTTTAAAGGGTATGTATTGTTACAACATTAAACCTCTTCATCTCAAATCTTCCAACAGCAACAAAAAGCCTACTACATACACAAAGATCTGATGTTGAGTGTTTTAGAGAGATTTTTAAAAAGAAGCTATGTTCCTTATTTAAGCCCCTGTATGAAAGGAAGACAATAACAATCATAAGAGTTCAGGGAAAGTGGCAGACAGCAACAACTATGAGCAACCCTGAGGAGAACCCAAAAGGACGGAAATTTCCAGAAAGTATGGGGAAGACAGTAAAATTATCAAATAAATAGAACAAGGACCAAAAGCTAACTTTAAATCTCAAAGGACACAGTGATAACATCTGGTATTTCAGTTACCTAAGATTTCATTAGTAGAATAATGTCACTTTCTAGTGCTATCTTCAAAATCACTAATCTTTTCTTCTATACTATCTAATCTGCTGTTAATCCTATCCAAAATGAAACCAAAAAAAAAAGAGTGCGTACGCACGTATGCAACGATGAGTTGTAATCACACTAATATATGTAT